ATGGTAACCGACAGAAAAATAGCAGCCTGCCAAATGGCTTTTGTGGTTCCTTTTCCAGCTTGTTGTTCAGTATAGAATTAAAGCTAGCTGGGAGAAGAACCAGGCTAATCTTTAAAACAGGGACAGGACGCAGTTTGAAAAGTACAACTAACTGGGTGGGAGTCAGGCAGCACAAGAAAGCTCCGATGAGCACCCAGCCTTAGAGAAGAAAAGTGCTTGATTTCTTAAAAAAAAAGTTGACATATAAAAAAAATTTTTTCAAAAAATGGTTTGTTGTTGTTGCTGATTGCTGTTGAGTTGAGCACGACTCACAACAATCCTATGAACAAAAGAACTGAAGCCTTTCTATAACTATCATTTCTCAAAGTTCACAGAGTTTCCAGAGGCATGTTGTTTAGGAAGTAGATGCCATCTCTGCTTAAAAGTGTGTATTTGGACTAAAGTTTTATTTTGGTCTTGAGACCGGTTACTCTGTTTAGAAGCTATAAATGGTCCTGTTTACACAGGTTTTAATCTGAATGACAGGAAAGAAGGGAGCAGGATAGGTGGAAGAGCAAGATTAGACAAGTCTCCTAGGTCCCCAAGAACTCTGTGGGGTTCAAGGCTATAGTAATCTACTCTAAAATCAAAATGTGCTGATGCCAAGCAGAAGACAGTGATCAAAGGACCGGCACCTGGGGACAGGCGATTTCATTGCAGGGATGATTGTGCGAAGCTGGCCGAGCCAAGCCAGTGAGTCAGAGGGGCACTGATGCTTGGGAAACAAAGATCCCCTTTCCGCCAGCACAGTGAGAAATTGTTAGAAACGCTAATGTGTGGGGCGGGGGCAGCTCTCTGAAGATCAGCTGCTACAGAGATCTGCTCAAGGTGCCAGACTGCAAAACCAACAGCTGCTTGCAGTGGGGGAGGAGTCTGAATTTGGAAAAAATCAAGACTATTTCTTTTTGAAGGTGGCCCAAAACAGATGCGTTTCTGTCTCAATAATGCTCTCTTGACTGAAGGGCAGGAAATGTCATGACTCTTTATGTCAGTTCCAGATGAGAAACTATGACTCAGATGAAACACATATTAGCTGCTCATCTGATAGGTGAAAACGAGCTGGAGTTGGAAAAATATTTCCTCCCATCACCTCTAGTGCACCCCCAGTGTCTGTGTCTTGTTCATATTCTATAGTCGCTAGTGTTCTGCTGAGCTAGGTCTGTAAGAGTTATGGCAAGTTTGTCTCCTACCAGAAAAATAACCTAACTTGTACTTTTTAATCTATGCTCCCCTCTAATGTGGGTTGGGTGAATTGTGAGTCATCTCAGAATTATCATCTTTGTCTAGAAAGAAAAGTAGAAATAAATTTGCAATAATGGTTTCTCTTCTATCCTTCAGAAAAGGATCATTATAATAAGATAAAGATGATGTACTCAAAGATATATTTTAAAGACTGTCAACTCAAAGAAAGGCTTCCTTCCGTCCTACTGGTTTGGCTGTTTTGTGGAGTCCCACATTTTTAGCATTTGCTAGTGACAGCTAAAGCAGTCTTTCCCAAAGTTTAAACCTGCCTGCTGTTTATCAAACAATAAAATACCTAACTTCTTTCAAAATGGCCATTTTTAAACTCCATTCACCAATGCATGATTTTATTTTCAAATACATTAACATTCTATAACTTCATCTAAAAATATAGGCCAGAACTGAAGAGGCAGAGAAGTAACTGCATCAAATCCAATCACAGTTAAGACTAAGCAGAAAACCAGACTTTGAGTCAGTAAGGTGAAATACTGATACATGTTTCTCTCCAAGTCCATTTCCACAGCCAACTTTGTTTCAGGCTCTCTGACACATTTTTCTTACTCTTTTGATATAGATTTTCATGAAATCTGCTTTTGCAGTTACTGGCTGACAATTAAAGGGCTTTAACCACATAGTAAAATGAGCATTTCATGGCTTGGGCCTTGTGTTCATCAAAACAGACTCTGAGAAGCCTTGAGGAGATGATAAAACCTTCAGAATAGGCAGCTTCCCTCTTAAACACAGATTTTGCTGCAAACAGTTTCCCCTGGAAACAATGTGTATGTGGTAGTTCTCAGTCCTCACTCAACTTACTCACTCACTCACTGACATTGATTTGGAATTGACTCATAGCCGACCCTCCAGCGGGTTTTCTGAGGCTGTAAATCGCATGAAAAGAGCCTGCCCATCTTTCTCCCTCAGAGCCACTGGTGGATTCAAACCTCCAGAGAGGGACAGCGACTTAGCAGCAAGACTCCCTAAGGACTATCAGAACCTCTAACACAGGTGAAGAACATCACCAAGGAACAGCTTTTGTTTATTATTCAAATGCAATTCTCATTATTTGTAGATTCTTTTTCTGTAAATCTGCATACTTGTTAAAACGGTCCTGTGACTCCAAAATCAACAGCAGTGATGCTTTTGCGGTCCTTCAGGAGCATGGGCCGAGTGGCGAGAAGTTGGACTCCCCTGAGACACAGGGCAGGTTTGGTATAGACCAATCCAATATTCAGGCAAACATCACAGTTTAACAACCACAAACGACAAAATCCAACTTAAAATATTTTTATCTAGAAAATGATGAGCTTCAGCTGCTGAGAGAGAGAAGATATGAGATATTTCTGGACACCAGAACACTGCTGATGCTTAATAGATGGAAACTATATATATAGTAAAAATAATTACTCAGGAAAGCATACTATTGGAGTTCTTCAGATTCAAACCTATAAATAAGCTAAAAATTTTAAAATGGGTCAGTGAGGGTGAACGTGTGTAAGGAAACAGTAACTGAATATTCAGCAACCAAGAAAATAACCGCAAAGACTTGAGCAAGACGGTACTGGAGATTATTATGAACATAGTATGGCTTGTTTGCCACAGGCAGGGGGAAAGAACAGGTCCCAGGGAAAGGGACAGCACCAGCATGTGCTGCTCATGAGCTCCAGGAGGAGAAAGGACTTCGTGTTACTCGTTTACTGCTACTGCCCCAACTCCCACAAACGTGCCCCAAGTCCCACAAACGTGCCTGCACCAGAGCCGCTACTCCACGCGTCAGGCTGGAGGAGTCAGTCCAAACTTAAAAATGAGATGGTGTTATTATTCACCATCGCAAGAACATGGAAACAGCCCAAATGTCCAATCACAACTGAATGGATTGAGAAATGTACACGATGGAATACTACAAGCATGCAGGGGCAATGATTTGTGTAAAGCACTTCCTAACTTGGGAGGGACTGGAGGGCTTTATGCTGAGTGAACCAACAAAGTCCCATAAGGACAAATGCATATAAAACCATTATTGTAGAATGTGTATGAGTATCCCAGATGGGGAGGGTGGGAGCAGCGGGGTGAGGATGGGAAGGGGGGTTAATCATAGGGCCACACAATGTAATGAGTGGAGGAAGAAGTGGGCAAAGGAAATGGGCAAGATCCAGTGTGAAAAATAATGTATACGAATATGGCTAAGTAAACCAGTATAAAATAAAAATTTTATTTAAAAAATATAATACTAAAAAAATTATGAGTTGATGGTGATTCCTGGTCATCATAGAACAAGAATATTACTAAACACTGGATGAATTGTTCACATGTGAGCTCAGGACTTAACCGAGTGGAAACCTGTGTGCAGAAGCATAAGCAAATGGAGAGAGAATGTGGTAAAGGCGGTAGAATTTGATTTCTGGAGTAGGATTCCTTGGTTCAGAGAAGCCTGAGTGCCAGTGAAAGCTATTCAGAGAGTTCAGGGAGTAAGTTCACTCAGGCAGTTACTGGTAACCGGCAATTTTGTGCTAACGTATGCCAAAGCGTCTGTCCCCCAAAGAGAAAAAAAAAAGCCCAATCAAAAGCGACTGTGCCAACATGAGGTCGTTACCGGCATACATGCAAAATAATTTAATATGCTTCAAAACACCATGTTTGGAAACCTAGGAAACATGTCAAGAAAGCAGCCTGGCCATTAATTTTCTGCTCAGAGAGGCTATCTGAGGAAGAACAGACATGAGCTGACTAAGAAATATGTGGTCTGGATTAGGTCACAGTCAATAAACAGCCTTCAGACCTTTCACAGCGACTGGGTCTGGTTTAATGTTACAAGCTGATTAGGAAAAGACACAAACCCTGGAAGCCGGTGGATTTGGTAGAGATTTGGCTTGTTTCTTACAATTCCTACTGCCTTGCCTTCCTAGGACTTGTTTTGCTCCTATTAGGGAAAGGAAATTGTGGTACCAAAAACCCACAACAAAACATTGAGCAACTCAACAGTTTTTAGTCCTATAATTCACTGATATTTATTATACATCTCAGTCCCTTAAAAGATGTTATGGCTTTCGTATCCTTTCTAGATCATATAATCTAAGCAGGAGTAGAGGAGGCAAATTCAACTTATTCTAGAGTCAGGTTAGCCACCAATTTTCATCTGCATTTGAAGTATCACCTCTGAGAATCTGGCTTGAGTTCCTCCCTGGGAAAGATTTAGTGCTTCATCTGTATTGTCTTTGCTGAGAAGGCAGTGAGATGGCACGTGATGTTTCACAGAACAAGCAGCAGTATACTGGCATGAAGAACACACTCGTAAATAAAGGCACCTCCCTTTCCCTTCTTGCCTCTACTAACTTGAGCCATTCTCTTTATAGCCACCCCCCCAGCACTTTTCACAGAGTTAATTGTTTGGTTAATAATACCAAGCTGCCTCACTAGACTGTCTCTCCATGGACAGGAACTGTGTCTGTTATCTCCACCAGTGGACCTTCACCACTTGGCAGGCAACCCTCAGCACCTGACACGAAGCTGGCAATTCCTGTTAGATGAACAGATGAAGGAGCAGGCAGTCAGCATATCAAAAGTCAAGCATGAAGTCAGCAATCAACTGAGAATGTTTCATCAACCCCAAAAAAGTTGCATCACTACTGTGTTCTGAAGCTGAAAACAGGGACTTTTAGGAGCTCTCCCTTTTCCACGGACTCACAGGTGGCAGACAGAGCATAAAAAGAGAGGATACTCACTGGAGGGGGCTTCTTTCTCATTTCAAAAGTGCGAGTGGCCCCAAAGCTGAGCGAAGCAATGACGGGGCACCTCCCGAGTGAGGGTTCGTCATCGCTGTGCCAGTCCACGCTGTCCTTCTCATTTCGATAAAGATTGCAGAGTAAGGAGTTGAAGGTGTGGCCAGTGTTCTCTTCGATGCGGCTCTTCAGGGCGCTCAGCACTGGATGCCACTGTAATCAACAGGCCAACACAAGGGACAGAGTCACACCAAGTGACAGGCATGCGGGACAACAGAAACAAAGAGCAAATCTCAGCCAGTGGCATTTTCATCCTGTACCTCAGCATTTGGCATTGCCAGATGTACAGGGTGATCGCACAGAACAGACCACAGATTTCCCACTGCTGTTGGAACCACAAAACACTGGACAATGCCACAGCTTCTAAGTGAGGAACAGACAGATGTACCCCCAAACTCAGCAAATGTTAGTTTCTTAATAGTTAGCTGTGATGTGGATCTGAAATCAAGACACTAGTCCTATTCTGTTATGCTGAAATACATGGGCCTAGCTTGCACTTTAAATAGCTCTTTTAACTTTGCATCGTTTTGTGACACTGAACACTGATCATCTGGAAAACACTGGCTCACTGAGTTGTGCAGTTCACATATTTCAAGACACAATCACATACCCCAAACCCCACAATTCTTAACATGACTACTTAATCTCATCAGAAAAGTCTAAGGCAAAAACCTAGCATTATAATGTTTGCTTGAAACTAATCTAATATTATTTTTTTATTATTTTTGTGTGTGTACTGTCAAATCAGATCTGACTGGTACAGGAGGAGATAGTCCCTCCTTCTCCAGCAGAGCATCTGGTGGATTTGAACCTTGCACCTTTGAGATTGCAGTGCAGCTTCCTGCCACTAGGCCACCAGAGCTCCTGAAACTAATACTCTACTGTTTGCTCAAAAACTCAAATTTTATCATTAGTAGCACAATCTATCCACTGCTTTCCTTGAAATGAAGCCCCTTTATAAGAAAATATCTGTCAAATCCTCTAAATAACTAAATAACCACTGTCTGTTCTTCCAGATCAAAATGGCACATGAAAAAAAGGGAAGAGTTGATCAGACAACTCAAACAATCACATATTTATTATCAAGAAAATATATTTCAAGGAGAAAGTCTAAGAATATCAGTATGCTGAGTTTCCTGTTTATTCTATGGCTTTAAACTTAACTTCATGTAGCTGAAGATCAGATACTAGAAATATACACTTTAAAAACAACACCCAAGAATGTAAAGGAGGAAAAGGCATGTTTTTCTGCAATGTGACTGAGAAGCTAATTAATGATTCCCTGATTGGCTTCGTTACTGAGTGCTATGATAACACCAGGTTTGCATTGTGTTTCTAAGTGGGGATGTATTTTTTTTTCCCTTGGGTATTTTGGGTGGTGAAGAAGTAGAGAGAAAAGGAGAAAGGAGAGGATAATGAACTAAGGAACTAAAATTAGACTCTCCCAACTCAATACTCTATGCAGATCCCTCAGAACCGAATGCTTAAATTAAAATTCAGTGTCATCTCACTGCTCAGTGAAGACATTCTATCCTTAAAAGACACTTGAAAAGAGTAAGAGAAAATATGAATCACAGAAGGAAGAGGACTTATTCAGTGATTTCAAATAGTGTTTGCTAGAGTCCAAGGTTATCACAAAGGTGCCACTGGGCCTACAGAAGAATAAAAGGCCTCACAGCCAACCTGTGCTCTCATCTGTTTGTGTCCCAGACTTGGTCAGAGCAAGACTAACAGAAGTAAAAACCTCTCTGATTAAGCTTGAGGTAATACTTCAATTTTAAAAATAAACAAGTGACCTCAACAGACACAAACATACACACGTTAGTGAATTCATTCTCCTTTGAAAAATGTTGAAGAAGTAGCTCTACTGATTTTGCTCAAAGTGGCATAAAAATAAATTCAGTCTATTAGCACTAAATATAAAGTGATGAACCAAGCAAATCCAAATTAAAGGAGTCTAATTTGACACCCTTACTGGGCAACAAGAGGAGTGTGTTTGAATAAATTATGGTCTGCCTAACTTTGGGGCTACTATGCAAACATTTAATTATGATGTTGTAAAATAATAGTTAATGATACTAAAAAAAGGTTAAAGTATGTAATTAAGTGAAACATAGTATACATAATTATTTTATGTTTATGGAAAAATTGTCTACATATATTTGCCTAAAATAAAGGTTTGGGATAAAAGGAACTGGAGGTGGGATTCTCACATACACTCTCAATATTCATTTGGAGCCAGTAGTCCTTCTTAACTAAAAGCCTGGAGACTGTCTGCTCAGCAGGAGGGAAAGGCCTGGTCACCTGTCCCCATGAATATTATAGCTTAGGAATCCCAATGGGGCATTTTTCACTCGGCCATGTAGTGTCACAGTGACTCAGGACCAACTTGACAACACAGAACAACTTTCTGTTTAACCACAGCGTCTAAATTTTAAAAAGAAACACATCTTACTTACATCATAAAAAAAAAAGAAAGACTGTCATTATTTTGAAGAGACATCAAAATGTGCCCAAGAAGAGGCTCTTTTCCTCAGTAGACCCTGCATGCCTTGATGTTGAGAACGACGGGCACAGTGGCTCTCAAAGAGGGGTGACTGTGCCCCTGAAGCGGGTGGTCACCAATGTCTAGAGACATGGTGTTAGAATGGAGTAAGGGAACTGCTGACATCTGAGAGGCAGGGGACAGGAAGACCGTCCAACATCCTACAGAGCGGAGGACAGCACTATGTAACAAAGAATTATCCCACCTAAAAGGCCAACTGTACAAAGGCTGACATATCTTATTCTCAAAAATTAACTAGAATGAGTAAGAAAAAAACCAATTAATTTCTCCAAAGCCTATTTTATAATCTTCAATTCTCTACTATGTTGCCAAGAAGTAAACAAACAAACAAAACCCAAAAAACCAACAAAACTGGTCTGGCCTAATTAAATTCTGTTAACTTCCAAATGAACAGGGAAAAAAGTGTCTCAATACTTCCCCCCTGTTGTTGCTGTTATGTGCTATTGAGTCACCTGTGACTCATAGCAACCCTATATACCATACCTCTGAACCCTGCCCTATCCTGAGCCAGTCTCACTGACTCCGACATACCTAACCCCACTACCCCAGTTATACCATGTCAATCTTTATCACATCCAGGGTCTTCCTTTCTTGCACTGTCCCTCCACTCTTCCAAGCATGATGTCCTTCTCCAAGGACTGGTTTCTCCTGGCCAAATGCCCAAAGCATGTGAGATGGAGCTTCAAAATTCTTGCCTCGAAGGAGAAATTTGGTTTCACCCTCTCTAAGACAGACCTTTTTGTTCTTTTGGCAGTCCATGGTATGTTCAATACTCTTTTCTAGGACCACAACTCAAAGGCATTGTTCTTCTTCTGTTACCTGTCACCCATACTCATTGTTCAGAGAGACTAGAATAGTACACTGACAGAGAACAACCAGAAATACAAGCTGGGTTTAGAAGAGGTTGTGGCACTAGAGAAATTATTTCCAATGTCAGACGGATCTCAGCCAAAAGCAAAGGGTACCAGAGGAATGTCTCTGTTTCATTGACTATGAAAAGACTAATCTTGAGAAGAACAGGAATCCCAGAACACTTGATTGTGCTCATGCCAAACTTGTACTTGGACCAGCAGGCAGTTGTCAGAACAGAGCAGAGAAACAATGCATGGTTCAAAATCAGTCAGGGAGTGTGCGAGGGATGCCTCTTGTCTCCACACCTTTTCAATCTGTATGCAAAACAGATCATTCAGGAGGCTGGACTTTATGAGGAGGAATGTGGAATCAGGATTGGAGGAAGACTCATCAAAAACTGCATTGTACAGATGACACAGCCTTGCTTCCAAAACTGAAGAGAAGCATTTGCTGCAGAAGGTTGAGAACTGGAGTTTTCAATATGGATTGAAACTCAACATAAGAAGACAAAGATTCTTACCACTGGGCCAACTGGCAGCACCATGATGGATGGAGAGGAGATTGAGGTTGTTAATTTCAGCTCCACAATCAACACTCTTGGCATCAGCAGTCAGGAAATCAAATGATGAATTGTACTGGGGAAGTCTGCTGTCAGGGACTTCTCCAAAGTGCTAAAGAGCAATGAAGTCAGTCTGGAGACTAAGATGCACCTGATCCAGACCATGGTCTTTGCAATTGTTTGCTATGCATCAGGGAGCTGGACAATACTCCACTGAGTACATGGTATATGCAGCCCTAGACATGTATGTGCAAAAGGCCACTATTTCCCTAACCAATGTTTTATCCATAGACATCTTAGCAAAATGGGAGACTGTGATACTGGACGCTCTAAAAGATACCACATATCTGTTTATCTCAATGTTACTGTTGCTGATGGATGCCAGTGAGTTAGCTCCAAATCACAGAAACCCTATGTTCAACAGAACGAAACACCATCCCACCACTCATGATTGTGGCTATGCTTGACCCCCGCTGCACCCACCATGCCAATCCATCTTGTCAAGGAGCTTCGTCCTTTTCCTTAATCTTCCACTTTACCAAGGGAGTTCTGGGGCCTTGTGAAAAGGAGCTGCACTGTCATCCGAAAGGCATGCAGTGTGAATCCACCAGCTGCTTCGAGGGTGAAAGATGGACAATCTCCTCCCATGTGATTTACTGTCTCTGAAAACCCACTGCAGGGTTAACGGCACATCACAACCACTACTTTCCCAAGCACGATGCCGTTCTCAAAGGACATCCTGATGTGTCTAAAGGAGCAAAGTTTCACTACTCTTGCTTCGAAGGAGCAGCCTCGCTCTAATTTCTCTAACACCTACCAGTTTGCTCTTCTGGCAGTCCACGGCACATTTACTATTCTTCAGCACAGTACCTCAACTGCCCCAGTTCTTCAATCTCATCGTCCAGCTTTTGCATACTTTTGAGGTCGGCTGAACACTCTGGTTTGGGTCAGGTACAGCTTCGTCCTCAAAGTAACACCTCTGCTTTTCAACACTTCAAAGCTTTGTGCAGCAGGTCTGCCTGACGCAACATGGTATCTGATTGCCTGACTGTTGCTTCCACAAGCACCAACTGCAGATCCCTGACAACTTCATGATTTTCTCCATTTATCACGATGTCGCTTATTGGTCCCTTTGTGAGGATTTCTGCTTCATGCTGATGTGCAATCCACACTGTAGGCTTTGATTTTCATTGGTAGGCACTTCACGTCCTCATACCTTTCAGCAAGAAAGGTTGTGCCATCTATATATTGGAGGCTGTCGATGAGTCTTCATTCAGTCCTGATGCCACATCCTTTAGGTTTGTTGATTATCTGCTAAGCATAATGACTAAATAAATATGGTTCAAGGACATCGCTCCAATGTACACAATTCAGGATTTTAAACTACAAATATTCACCATGTTCTAACTTTTCTATCTATATAAAAATTCTGCATAAACACAGTTATGTGTTCTGGAATTCCTATTAATTGCAATCTTATACATTATTTGTTAAGAGCCATGCAGTTTAATCAGTTTGCAACACCAATAAAATAGAAGTAAATATCGTTCCAGTAATTTCTACTTTCAGCCAAGATCCATCTGAGGTCAATAATACGATAACCTCATTCCTATACTGTATTATGAATCTTGCTTGACTTTCTATCAGTTCTCTATAAATTTACTTCAACAATTACTTCAGAAACAATTTTTATTATATTATCTTGAGCAAAATTTTCCTCGTGTGTCACATTAATGACATTGTTTGAGAATTTCTGCACTCTGCTGGCTCACCATTTTTTAAGTAGACACAAATGTGGATCTCTTCCAGTCAGTTGGCCAAGTCTTCTTGGCATAGACAAGTGAACGTTTCTAGCTTTCTTATCCATTTGTTGAAGAATCTCTACCAGTATTCTGTCAATTCCTAGCATTCTGTTTTTCACCAATTTTTTCGATGCAGCTTGCTTGGACTTCTTTCAATAGCACTGATCCTTGATCATTTGCTTCTTCCTGAAATGCCTGAACACTGGCCAATTCTTTTGGTATAGTAACTCTGCATATTCTTTCCATTTTCTTTTAATGTTTCTTGTGTTATTCAATTTTTTTACCACGAAACTCTTCAATATTGTAAGTCAAGGCTTGAGTTTCTTTTCTTCAGCTGTTTCCATTTAAGAAATGCTGCACATGCTCTTCTCCTGTGGTTTTTTATTCCTAGTCTTCGCATGTTTCGTTATAATGCTTTACTGTCTTCTTTTTTTTTTTTTTTTACTAAGAAATAAATTTTATTGGTTTGCATACAATCATTGTACTTCACTCATGTACATTATGGTTTTACTGTCTTCTTAAGGCACTCTTCTTTTATTTCACACTTTCTTCAATTCACTTTAGTTACTCTACATTCAAGAACAAGTTTCAGCATCTCTTCTGACAATCATTTTGGACTTTTCTTTCTTTCTTGTCTTTTTAACAACGTTTTTTCCCCCTCTGTGCATGATGTCCTCCCAAAAATTTGTCTTTAGTATTCAATGTGTCAAACTCATTCTTGAAATTTAATCTCGGGTGGGATATACTCCTGGCTGTACTTTGGCTCTCACGGGCTTGTTTTTTTCAGCTTCAACTTGAACTTTATTTCATAAACAATTGATAGTTTTCCACTGTTGGCCACTGTCCATGCTGATCGATGACACTGAGTTTCTTCATCTTTTCTACAGAGTTTAGTGAGTCCTGTGTATTCTATAGAGCAAACTCCATGTGAATAGACACCACTTATGCTGTTGGAAATTCTGTCATGTGATCGCCAACATTGTTTCTATTGGTAAGGCTGTATTTTCCAAGTATGATCCTACTCCTTTGTTTCCATTTCCATCACTTGCTGGGTTGTTGTTAGGTGCTGTCAAGTCAACTATGACTCACACACAGTATGAACATTGGCTCTGAGCCTTGCCCTATCCTGTGCCATCCCCACCAATCCTGATGTACAATCACTGGTAACCATCAATGCATCCTGATTGTACTTCAAACTGAGAAATCAGTAAAAATTCTCAATCCTGTCATCCCCAGCACTAGTGGTTGTGTGAATTTGAATAGTCATATTCACTGGACTTTCTTAGAGTTGTATAGACAGTCTCCCATCACTGACGGTGCTGTTACTTCCAGATAGATCTTGAAATGCTCCTTTTCAGGATAAATGTGAAGTCATTCTGCTTCAAGTTGTCATTCCTGATATGTCCAATTCAAAATTGCCCAAATCAGGCTGTTTCAGCTCACTGATGCCTGTGATCTCCAAGCATTCCACTCCATTTTCAACAGCTCCCAATTTTCCTAGCTCCACAATTCATCCATGCTCCATTCTGATTGTTAACGGGTGCTTCCAGCTGTTTCTTCTCATTTTGAGGCCTCCCAACCTGATGCCATAAGCAAAACTCTATTTTTTTCCCAACTTTTTTTTTCAGTAAAGGTTAGCATTCTTCGCCAAAGGCGAGATTCCAGGCACTAAACAGGGAACTATTTCTCGGGCCTTGACACTGTCCTCTGGACAAGCTTAATTTACATACTAGACTATCTTGGTCTATAGTGTCATGGAAAATTTGAAAAATAAAAGCAGCGGTAGAGACAGTCAAAGCAGTGATAAGTTAGAAGTCCAGAGAGCTGAAGCCAGAAAATGAATACAAAGTAACAAAGAAAATAAAGAAGAGTTTCTTTTCAAAAATGACACAGGAGCCTGAGAACTGGAAGGGGCACTCTGACTTCCTGGCAGCCACTGGAACTCAGCTCCACAGCAAATGTCCAATGAGGTGCACACAGGAGAGCTACAGTCAGAGACGCTGGGCTGGGGAGAGGGGAGATTTCCTACTCCTCAAGTTCTGCCCTCTCCTTTCACTTTGCTCTACTTACAGCTTTTGCTTCATGTTTATCTATAGCACAAAAGCACATACCAGGTAACGAGTACGAAGACTCGGTGTAATATCTCAAGAGGATTTTTTGAACTAGGAACCATCATACGTAGGTAACTTACTGTGACTTTCATAGTACTCTGAGTTTATAGCATATAGTGCATAAAATCATACCAACGAGAATATTCCAACATACGTGAGGATTTGGTTCCATAGTGACTCTGGAATAAGTATAAGGAAGCTCTCCGTACCATGCTGTGAGTCTTGGCTGCTGGTAAGTTACATCTAAGAAAGAAAATACAGGACCTTTGAAGTAATTTCATGCTATTTAAGGTATAGTTAGCTACTGAGTCCCAACTTGGTGCTTTGCAATGTGCAAGAAGCTATCGGACATATAAAGGAAGAGTAAGGATGGGCTCTGCTCCAGGGTTCCAACTTAAACAGAACAATATCTGGGATTTGAAGAGTCAAATGGGTCAGAACTGAATGGAAGAAAAGAGAGAAGAAAGTATTTTGGCAGAATGAACATGGGCTAGGACTCAGAGGAGAGTGTGTGTGCCTTATTTACGTCAGTGATGACATAAACACAGTGAAGTCGTCACGCTGGGCACAGTAGGGTTCAGATTAGGGAGGACTGGGTGTCTAACAGCCTAAAGAAATTTGTGGCACCAATGTTCATTTAGAGAAACAACGCCGATTATTTACGTCTGTGTCCAATGTTGTATAAGACCTTCTGACTTCAGATGAAGCAGAAAGTGCTTTGATTTTGGCATGTAATTGATTTTAGTCATAAAGCCTGGATATCCACGTTTATTTACAAAAGGTGTTACCCATCGGTCTGTACAGCTAACCCAAAGGCCATGTCTCTGGCGGTTTGAATCCACCAGCAGCTCCGTAAGGAAGGCAGGCAATCTCCTCTGATTTATGGCCTTGGAAACCCCAGGAAGGATCAGTTATGGTCAGTTCTGACTCGACAGCAATGAGTGACAGCATGCGAGGTCCCAATCACAGCAACATTAAAAGCAATCATAATAAAAGGCGCCGTCCTTCACCGAAGACTTACTATATAATAGGCACTCTTTTAAGAAGGTCCCACATATAATCTAATTACCACAACCATCTGATTAATATTTGTAATTACTTACATTATACAGAGAAGACAACCAAAGATCAGAGAGTCAATCTGGATAGAATTTGCTTAAAATTAACAATTAACAAAATTAACAACAACAACAACAAAATTAACAATTTGTTTAACTGAGCCAATAATTGAAGTCAAGTATACCACCAGAGTCTAACTGTGGAAACTGCTGTGAGAAAATTGCCCTGAAAAAGCAGTCCCCTATTCTGATGTCTGAGTCTCAAAAATGAAGCTTCTTTCTTTACAGAATATTTGAATTCATTCATTGTAGCCAAGAGAAAATTGTTAGAACACAGGCGCCCCCCTGTGACCACCTCTGGTATAACAGGTACTTGGGCTTGTGGCGGCCCACAGAGGTGTCCCAGGGGTTAGATGTTCAGTGCTAATCAAAACGTTGTTGGTTGTAACTCACTTTCTGCTCCACTAGAGAAAGATGTGGAAAACCTCTCTCTGTAAAGATCTGAGAATGAAGAAAAGACAAAAATGGATGTCAGAAGGGGCTTTGAATATTGCACTAGAACGCCGAGATGCTAGAAAAGTAGTATCATGAAAATGTGCAAAGAGCTGGAGTCAGAAAATCAAAAGGAAGAACTTGCTCAGCATTTCTTAAGCTAAAAGGGACTGAGGAACAAATTCAACCCTCGTGTTGCAATATTGAAAGATGCTATGGATAAAATCTTGAAATATCCAGGAAGCATCCAAAGAAGATGGGAGAAATACAAAGTCACTGTACCAAAAAGAATTGGCTGACAGAGTATCATTTCAGAAGTAGTATACGATCAAGAGACTATGGTGATGAAGGAGGAAGTTCAATCGGCTCTGAAAGAACTGGTAAAAAATAAGGCTCCAGGAACTGATGAAATACCAATTGATCTATTACAGCTCTGGATGTGCTCACCAGACTGTGCCAAGCAATCTGGAGGATAGCTACATGGCTAACTGACTGACTGAAAGAGATAAAAATTTATTCTCATTCAAAAAAAGGTGATCCGATGGTGTAGAAATTATCGAACAATATCCCATGCAAGCAAAATCTTGCTGAAGATTATTTAAAAACACCTGCAACAGTACATCAGCAGAGAACTACCAGAAATACAAGTTGGGTTAAGAAGAGACCACAGCACTAGGGATATTAGTGTCAATGTCAGATGGATCTTGGCTGAAAGCAGAGAGTACCAAAAGAATGTCTATTTGTATTTTGTTGACTATATAAAGGCATTTGACTGTGTGAATCACAACAGATTGTGGCTAAACTTGAGAAGAATGAGAATCCCAGAACACTTGATTGTGCTCATGCAAAACCTATACCTAGACCAAGAAGATGTTGTCTGAACAGAGCAAGAGGACACTGTCAGGTTTAGAATCAAGAAAGTAGTGTGTCAGGATGTACCCTTTCTCTGTACCTTTTCAATCTATATGTTGAACAGATCATTTGAGAGACTGGCCTTTATAAAGAAAAATGTAGCATCAGGACTAGAGGAAGACTCACCAATAACCTGCGTCACACACTTGACACAACCTTGCTCACTGAAACGGAAGAGAACTTGAGCTGCCTCATGCAGAAGATCAAAGACTGCAGCCTTCAATATGGATTGCATTTCAACATCAGGAAAACAAAAACCCTCACCACTGGGCCAACAGGCAGCATCATGATAGATGGAGAAAAGATTGAGGTGGTTAGCAATTTCATCCACAATCAACACCTTGGCATCAGCAGTCAGGAAATCAAAAGGTGAGCTGCACTGGGAAAATCCACTATCAAGGCCCTCTCTCCAGTGTGCTAAAGAGCAACGATGTCAGTTTAAAAACTAAGGTGTGCCAGGTCCAAGCCATGGTCTTCTCAACTCTTGCTATATAGCTAAGAGCTGACAATGGCTTAAGGACAACAGAAGAAGAATTGATGACTTTGAGTTATGGTGCTGGAGAAGAGTACCGACTGCCAAGAGAACAAACAGGCCTGTCTGGGAGAGGGTAAAACCAGGTTGTTCCTTCGTGGCAAGGATTTTGAAACTCAGTCTCATATCCTTTGGGCATGTTGTCAGAAGAGGTTAGTCCTTGAAGGTCAACATGCTTGGAAGCGTAGAGGAACAGAGCTTGAGAGGAAAATGCTGGGCAAGGTGGACTGAAACAGTGGTAACGGCAACATAAAGATGTGTTGTAGACGGTGAGACTAGCTCAGGATAGAACAGGGCTCAGAGCTGCTGTTCACAGGGTCACTATGAGTTGGAGTTGACTCAATGGTACACCACCACCACCACCACAACAACAAAGAACTGAACCTTAAAAACCTGTGAAGCAGCTCTACTCCACTCTATAGAGTCAGCTACAAGGTGGATTTGTGGTCACATTTGCGATTTCAAGACAATACAAATACTAGAGCGAAAGGAGAACAGACTGCTATGAAGTAAGTCAGTAAAGGGCAGCAAAAGAATGTATGCCAAATAGGATCAGGAGGGAAAAAAAACAACCCTTGGAAGTTTCTATGACGAAAGAGGAAAGTTGGCACCATTTAAACTAACAAAGGCAGGGCACAAACACAAAGGGAGCTGAATGTCAACCACAGTGCAGCCAAACCAAATAAACTTCCTCTCGCCCCCGAGCTGTCACATCCTTCTTCCTCCTTCTCCCACATTCTCTGATCTTGCACCTGCTATTTCTTCCCTGTCCCCTCTGGCTAAGTTCTACTCACCGTTCAGGTAATCAGTTACGGTTTTTTTTTAAAGACTGGTTGTGGTGGAAAGAAGCAATGACGTCAGAAGCCCTTTCAGTGAGGGAGGCCAGGCAGTGACAGCCATCAGCATAAAGAGATGTACTTACCATCTCGGATGCCAGTCCTCTGCTTCCAGGGAACATCTCGACAAAGCTGCTCCGAGATCCAGTCTGCTTCTTTTAAGTCCACAAAGCCAGGATATAAACATACCCTGGATGCAGAAAGAACTGTAATTAATCAGAGAACACAGAAAAAAGTGGGCTAGATTCTAACTGATAGGGAAAAGGCAACCTGGATTTTTTTAATAGGTAGATGCAATCATTTAACACATTTCCCAGGACGAGCAGAGCCTATTATCTACCACCCAGGTCATGATGTTCCCAACAGAAAGGGATGCAAGAACGTTTGGGATTTTTTAAAAATTTTTTTTTTAAAGAAAGCTAATCAGATCACTGATCAATGGCACTTAACAACATAGGGAGAGACCAGTTGGCCTAGTGGACTGAAAGTGATACTACCAAGCCAAAGTTGGGTGACTCTGCTCTGCGGCCTTAAGGCCTGTCTTTAATTGCTTTTGGTGAAACAGTATTGTAGGTTGTATAGCCCTGGTGTGTCCACTTGCCGTACAGAGGTAACTTGTGGTCGCTGTGAAGCTGAACACTGTGACACTGATGTGTCAAATGCGTTAACAGTTACTCATGGTGGACTGTGTTTGGTGGTGCTCCCCAGTTAAAACAAGCTTGGAAGCAGGAGTGGTATCCACTTCCGTAAATAGCTTGCCTCCAGAAACCCTATGAACCTGGAGAAATGATAAAAGTCACGCAGGTGTTGAAGATTTTCGTTCATAGAGTCGCTATGAGTGGCCAAGAACTCCACAGCACTTAACAACAACAATCAGATCACAGCCTAGTAGTGAAAAAGTGCACTGCAATCCCCAAGTCACATGGTTCAAATCCACCTGCTGAGCTGTGGAAGACGCATGGGCAGTCTCCTCCCACGAGATTAAACTGCCTCTGAAAACCCACTGGAGAGTCAGCTACGGGTCGGTGCCAACTTGATGGTACATAACAACAACTCCCACTGTTTAACCATGGGAACCTGGAGCAAGCTGCTTAAATTCTCTGAGTAACATAAAGATGGGACCTACCACACTTGAGTCACCGCAACAAGAAAATAACTAATTAAAATAACTAAAATAATGAATTAAATCCCTCACATTATGTTATTTTAAACACTTTCTGCCACTTAAAATCCCAACACCACTAAACCAGCTAAAAAGATTTTTGTTTCTCTTTTAAGAAGTGTTGTGGAAGCCCTGGGCACATTCTCTTGCACAGCCTTGATGGTGCAAATATTCACTCTTCGAAGGTGTGTGTGGTTCTCTGAGAGCCATCAGAGGCTCAAACCTGGTTAATCATGAGATGTGACCAAAACACACAACTGATTTTCCTGTGTGCCTGTTAAAACTCACTTCTAAATGAGCTTCTAAGAAGGATTATGATCCACAGATGTGTCACTGGGCCAATGGGAGTCTTTAAAATCTAACAGAACTGGAAGTAAGCCAAGTTACTTAGATGTATGTTTAAAAGTCTCATTATTTTATAATGTCAATTACTACACTGAAACATTAAGACAATGCTTTTAAAATGCTTTTAAAATTTAAACTAACACACCTTAATTCATATATTTGTCCATGTTCTTAGAATCCACGTAAAGTTTCACAGTATAGAAGGTGAGGTTAAACTCATCTCTAATGTTGTTATTGTATACTGTAGAGTTGGAAATAGCCCACAGATGACCCTCCAGTGGGGTTTTGGAGGCAGTAAATAGCATGAAAGTTGACTGTCCCTCTCTCTCCTGTGGGGCAGTGGGTGGATTTGAACCAGGTACTTTTGGTCTGGCAGTGCAGTTCCTTCTCATTACGCCGCTAGAGCGCCCTCTGTCGAGTTGACCACAGAACTCATAGTGACCTTATGAACAGATTTGGATTGTCCGACCCTGCACCACCCTCACAATGTGATACGCTCAAGCCATTGTTACAGTCACTGTGTGACGTTATTAGTGGACAAAAAGAGTTAACTCTGGGGAGAAGCATTCTCAGTCTCTTTAGTCAATCATTTGAAAAACCAGAGAAGGATTGTGAAAATGGGCTGAAGTTAAAAGAGCTGTAGAAAAAGGAGGTACCTCTAAACTCTTTCTCCCCAAGAATTTAGGAGCAGAAGCTAACCTCTTTCTAGTCAAGGAAAGAAATATTTGAAAAGATTGTGCCTTAGATTTTTTTTTTTTAAATAATCACATTCTAGTAAAGATTCACTTACCTAGATACACCTGTGGGTGACAGGCTGATTTCATAAACACCCTCTCTGCTAAAGGGGAAAAAAACAACACCAGACTTATTGATATAAGGCAAAACAGTGCCCTCCACCCAGCAGAAGGGCTGCCCTTTGAGTTTAAAAAATTCTGGCTCAACAGAATCACTGAACTGTAAGGCAATAGAATGAACAGTTTCTATCACTGAGCTAAGCACTGAGAACAGTATTCCATTAATGGCTCGGGAACAGAACTGTGATAGGATTAGGTCACGGAGATGAAGAATGACATAAAATAAACTCTGATTCTCTTTATATGTCACCTGTAATCAAGGCTGATAGAGTCCGGACATCTATCACGTCAAAAGTACCAAACAAAGGCTCTCCTGTTGGAGACTTAGGAATAGGGGAAGGATTAACAAATAGCAAATAAACTCAGTGCTCTAAGCTTCCACTGCTTTCAAAGACAAATGTTTACTGAGTTTCTCCTCTAAGTGAAATTCTTCCCTTTGCTTCTCATCCACCTGTTAGCACAGCTTGCAAGGTCCTTACGATCTAGCTCCACCTCCTGACGGCTTGCACCTGTTAATGACCTGCATGGACAGACTGGAATATTCTGCAAGCACCACCATGTGTCTAACCCCATGCTTTTTGACCAGACAGAATGCCTCCCTGGTAGCCAGTGCTCCAACCCACTCCCAGTTTTGGTCCAATGGAAAAGTCACTCTCATCTTTCAAAATCTCAGCTCAGCATGACCGTCTCTAAATCTTTCCTGACCTTTAATGCGCCTAAATAATATTGAGCATTTGTCGTACGTGTTGCTGCTAGACTTTATGTGTCTATTTCACAATTTCCAGGATTATAATTTATCTATTTACACGTCTACTTCGCTTACTGGACTGTGGGTTCCACAGGGATTAAGACAGGGTTTTATTTTAAAAAAAAGATAGGGTTTTATTCTGTTTCCTCGTGTTTAGTACATAATAGATGCACAATAAAAACTTAGTAAATTTAATCAAATGTGAGAACCAGAATATTGTAGATGTGCCGTGTGGTAAGGTCCACACTACAAATGAAATAGATTACATATATGTCTCTATCAAGAGGCCTGTGTCAAATCCTTCTGAGAAAGAGAAGGATGTTACAGAAAATCAGAAAAAGGGCTAGTTTTCACACTGCCATGTCCTGTGAGTCCAGAGTTCATGACCTCTGAGCTAGGTTCTTAGACAGAGGTGTGAGCTGCTTTGAATCAAAACAGAGGGGTAGTTATTGTCATATTCATACTTACTTCATTTCTAAATGAGTTGCCTAGAATGTTTGTGAGCATAATGAAGACACTGTTTCAATGTGATATATCACATTTAGAAACTAGTTCACTTCAAACAGGAAAAGACAATCCTAGCTATCAAGAAAAATGAATTAGGATGGTTAACTCTAGAGAATCAGAAATAATGAACAGTTGGGTCAAGCAGCAGGGGGTTCTGTCATTTTCTCTGACTTGCAAATGTGTCAACACTAACGTTCCCAGTCTTCTAAGCGTTTTGTAATTTTATTTATTCTTTTTATCACCAAGAAAGAAACATCACAGTGGCATTTGCAATATTGGGCAAATAATGGTGACTGGGCATTTAATCATTATGTAGTTCCACCAGACAAGAAAAAGCAATTCCAGGGGAGCAATAAGATACTTAAGGACTAGATACAGCACTAACACAAGGGCCCATCTTTGAAAGGATGCTGTGTTAATTTTAAATTTCTCAAAGACATACAAGTCAATTTGCAAATAGCTAAATGTCCTAACAGACTACTCGTAGACACAAATGCACATATAACACTAACCTGATAAAAGAATAATTTCCACTGATGTTATTTCTACACCATATGGAAACTGAAAAGTTGGAAAAGAGGAGTCCCAGAATCTCTCTTTTTTTTAATAAGAACATTTTAGACACAGACCAATAAAAGAGGAATGTTGACTAACATTTCAAAAGCTCTGAATTAATGATGAAGTTATAATAAGTGTATTTAGGTCGTGCAGCTTTCTAGCAGCTTGCAAAAGCACTGCAGGCTGCAGTGGGATTGGGTCAGTTTTTATATAGCTTTTTTATGCCATGGTCTTGTAACTCCTACCAAATGGTTGGGTGAAACTATGCAAAGTGTGGTGCTTCTGGTCTCCCACGGAAACTGGTCAGCTTGCTGTTAGTGTGAACAAAGTACATGACACCTCTGAGGGGGAGGGACCATGCAAATATAGTATGGAACCCTACTGAACTAGTTCTGACACCCTATTGGTCTTAAAATGAGCCATTAAGAAAAGACAGGAGCAGGGAGTGTCTCTCAGACTCAGAGTCCACATGCTGAAAATGCCACAGAAACAGGAGACAGAGAGGGAACTGGCACAAAATGGTAAAAAGCATAAGTAGAGAAAGGTGGCTGCAGAATCAGGCGCCAGGCACGAGGTTGTGCAGTGGGCTTCCCGGACACAGAGCAAGATGGTCACAACGTGTGAGCCGAGTGCCCTGATCAGGAGGCTTGCTGGCAGAGTGGGGTGCCCCTGGGCACTTGTTGGCAGAGCCAGACATAGCTGAACTGTGAAGTGAGCGAGTTGAGTATCTTCAGTCTGAGGTTTACTGGCTCAGCAGAGTGCCCTTGGCCTGTGACAAACTCCTCAGCAGGGCAGAGGCAGGCCCGGGTGCCAAAAGACTGAGAGGCCGGGGATTAGAGAGAGGGTGACTAGAGGCACACCTGGGGCGAGGCTGTCCTGGCTGAAGGCCTGTCCTCAGCTGGAACCCACTACTTCCCTAGTAAGCCTCATAATATGAATGTTGTCTGTGAAGACTGTGTGGCCACTGCAGTGAATTGCTTGCAGCAAGCAGTCAAGGAGAAAGAGCTGGGGGAAGAAGAATGGGGTCAGGATTCACGAAATGTTTGGAGATGTCTAACTTCCACTTCACAGCACTCAGTCCTGGCCTGGTGCTGATTCTCCCCCGCACCTTGTGAAGTCAGAGAGGGAGTTCTGATGCCAGTGCCCCAGAAAGTTCACAGCAGTAAAACGGTACTTAGGGAGACCCAGTGGGAAGGCATTGCACTGACAACCCAAATGCAGGCAGTTCAAATCCATCCTCTGGAGAAAGACGGGCAATCCCTTCCCGTGCAATTTACTGCCTCTGAAAACTCACTGGAGGGTGACCTATAAGGTTTTGACTCAATGGCACAAAACAACGTTACTTAAATAATCATACATCAGAATGCCTCCCTGTCTTTACAAAGATGTTCTAGCTTACTGTATATTGGTTGAGAAATGTGAAAGAGGGTCAGAAAACCCACCAGACTTAAAGCTTAATGCCCAGAGATCTCCTCACATTTTCCACACCCTCAGCAAATTAAGAAAGGCTTCTCAAAAGACCAAGATTAAAGACATTTGAGACAGGAATAGCCCAGTCTAAAATGACACTATCTCTTCCAGATGGAAAAACTAGGGCCAGAGAAAGAGCCAGGATTTCCATTTCACTGTGGTCAACAGGTCGGGGAAGGCAGTACATTACTTACTCGATCACTCGTGGCTCTGGGGCTCTGCGCACTACCTGTAAGGAAACAGGCAGATTGAGAATGTGACCGAAGTATAAAGGAGACACTCGTAGGATGAGATGCCACACCTTGTCATTTCTGGTCAAACAAAATCATGTTTAAAAGGATCTGTTTTTATTGCAGGCTCTTCCTACTTCCAGAGACCCCTCTTCTCAAAACCTTTTTTTTATATTTGCTAAAGAATAGAGTAAGTATAAGGCACATAGTTCAAATGCACCAGCTGCTCAGTGGGAAAAGGATGGGCAATCTCCTCCCAGGTGATTTACTGCCTCTGAAAAGTCAGCTGCAGGTCAGTTCTGATTTGATGGCAACAATAAAAACAGGCAGGAAAAGCTGATACTATTATATAGTTCTGCCATTTTCCTAGTAGCCAGCAGCTTTGGAAAACTCTTTCATTTAAAAATGTTAGGGGGGATCTAAAAAAAAAAATAAATAAAAGAGTGTGTGAAGAAAAAACATGCACTATGAAAGAATTTATTTCAATAATTATTTATATAACCAACAGTGCACCAAGAAACCAGATTTGTATTCCCTTGTTCTGTTCAAATGACTGCTTCTTGTTCTACAGACAGGTTCCTCATGAGCACAAACTAGTGTTCTGGAATTCCTATTTTTTGCACTGTCATCCATAATTTGTTATGATCCACACAATCAAGTGTCTGCAGGCTGTTTGTTGTTGTTAGGTGCTGTCGATCCACAGATGACTCATAGTGACCCTATGAATGAAAGGCCTGAGTATTGTTCATAGTTTCCAAAGACAAGCCATTTCACAAGTGGATGCCCCTCCTGCTTCCAAGCTTGTTTTAATCGGGAAGCTCCACCAAACACTGCCCACCATGGGTAACCATGATCACATTTGGCACATCAGTGTCACAGTGTTCAGCATCACAGCAACCATGACTTACCTCTGTACAGCAATGCACTGACCAGTGCTATACCACCTAGAAGAACGCTTGACAGGAACATTTGAACCAGGCCTGAGGGCCGCAGATTAAAATCACCCACCTTGGGCTTGGGAGCATAACTTTCTTTCCACCAGGCCAAGGTAGCTCTCTCTTATGTTGCCATTGTTACTGTTAGGTGCCGTAGAGTCGTAGACGACTCATAGTGACCCTATGAACGCAAGGCCTGCATAGTCAATAATAATAATAATATAAGTAAACATCTTTCTGGTATTCTCTGCTTTCAGCTTAGCTCCATCTGATATCAGCAATGGTGATCCTCATTCCATGGTCTCTTCTGCACCTGGCTTGAATTTTTAGCAGTTTCATGCTGATGTGCAGTTACAAATGGTTTTGAATTATTTTTAGCAAAAATTTACTTTTGTGGACATCAATGATACTGTCCAATAACTTCCACATCTTGTTGGATCACCTTTCTTTGGGAAGAGCACAAATAAAGATCTCTCCAGGCTATCGGCCAAGCAGCTATCTTCCAACTTTTTTTTGCATAGATGAGCGCTTTTAGCTTCACATGTATTTCTTGACACATCTCAACTGATACTCTGTCAATTTCTAAAAATTTATTTCTCACCAAAGCCTTCAGTGCAGCTTCAAGTTTTTCCTTCAGTACTATTGGTTCTTGACCACATGCCACCTCCTGAAATGACTGAACATCCACTGCCCTTTTTGGTGCAGTGACTGTATTCTTGTCATCTTCTTTTGATGCTTCTTGTATCATTCAATATTTTGTTCATAGAATCTTTCCGTATTGCAACTCAAGGCTTGAATTTTTTTTTTTCAGTTCTTTCAGCTTCAGAAATGGTGACCATGCTTTTTGTCTTTTGGTTTTCTAACTCCAGTTTGTTTTTTTTTTTACATTTCATTACAATACTTTACTTTGTCTTCTTGAGCTGCCCTTTGCCATTTTCTGCTCATCTCCGAGTGATCTGGTCTATCATTACTGTGATACGCCTCAAACCAGTTCTTAAAATAGTTTTTAAATTCAGGTGGGACAGACTTATGTTCACATTGGTTCTAGTGAACTTGCTTTCATCCTCTTCAGATTAATTTCCAACTTGAATAAGAGTAACTGATGGTCTGTTCCACAGTCAGAACCTAGACTGGTTTTGACTGTGCATCTCCAACAAATCTTTCCACAGAAATAGTCACACTGCTTCCTATGTAGTCCAGCAGGTGAGAGCCGTGTGTATAATCACCTTTTGTGTTGGCTTTTTTGAAAAAAGGTATTTGCAATGAATAAATAATTTATTATAAAAATTCATTCAATAATTTTCCAGTCTCATTTCTGTCACCAAGGCCATAATTTCTGACTACCAGTCTGTCTTTGCTTCCAACTTTTGCATTCCAGCCACCTATTATATTAAAGCATCTTGATTACATGTTTGATTAATTTCAGACTACAAAACTTGGTAAAAATCCTTCATTTCCTCCTCCTTGGCTCTAGTTGTTAGTACATATATTTGATTAATAGTCATATAAACAGATCTTTCTTTATGTGACCGGACAGCATCCTATCACAGCACTGTACTACAGAACAGAACTTGAAATGGTCTTTCTGACTATGAATGCGCCAATCATCCTCAATTTTTCATTCTTAGCAAAATAGATCATATATTCTCTAACTGAAAGTAGCCAATATCAGTTTAGCTCAGCTCACTAATGCTGTGAATGTTGATCTTTAAGGATTCCATCACATTTCCAACAATTTCCAATTCTCCTAGATTCATACTTCATACATTGCACATTCTGTTTATTAATAGATGTTTGCATTTGATTCTCCGCACTCTGAATGACTTCCAATATTGGCACTAACTCCATTACTACAACTAGCGCTTATATCTAAATCTGTTATTTCACAAGTGAATGGCAAATCCTTCTTCCTAGTCTGTCCTGCAAGCCAAATCACTCGAGTACAGCAAATTGACAGGCAAGTGCTGTAGTCATAAGAGCAAATTACAAGCAAGCAAATATGCTTTATATGCTGTTAATAAGCAGCAACATGCAAATCACTCCTCCAGTAATGCAAACTGACAAGTAAGTGATGTACCACTAAGAGCAAATCATGGAAACCTGCAAGCATACAGCTATCACGGCACAAGGAGGCCTTCCACAATTCTAGTTCTGTCCAAGGCAGGTGATGTGTGGTAGGAGGTAGAAGCAGCAAGAGGCTTTGCACTTCCAGCTCAGCTCTAGCCAAGGTCTAGGCTGTGGGTGGGTGGGTGGGTGATCTTTAGCTGCTGGTCATAACAATGTGGCATCAGGATTGGAGGCTTATCAACACAACCTGCCTTATGCAGATGACATAACTTTGGTGAAAGCGAGAAGAAACTTGGGCACTTACTGCAGAGGAACAAAGACTACAGCCTTCAATATAGATTATATATCAACATTAAGAAGACAAAAATCTTCATCCTTAGGGGAGCTCTGGTGACCTAGTGGCAAGGAGCTGCAACTACAATCCCAGAGGCACACGGTTTGAATCCACCAGATGCTCTGCCGGGGAAGAAGGGACAATCTCCTCCTGTACCAGTCAGATCTGATTTGACGGTACACTCATACAAAAATAATAAAAATTAAAAAAAAAATCTTCATCCTTGGGCCAATATGCAGTATCACAATAGATGGAGAAAAGATTGATGTTGTCTTACCAAGAGCAATTACATAAGGAAGAAAAGAGAGGTTCAAAAGGAAGATGTAAAATTATTTCTATTTGCAGAGCACATGATCTCATATCCTGAAAATCCCAAAGAAAGCTACAGTGGCTATTGTTATATACTGTAGAGTAGAAACCAACTCACAGGCAGGTTATCAAAGGCAGTAATTTGTACAGGAGGAGATGTTTACCTTTCTCCTCGTGAAAGAGCAGCTGGTGGATTTCTACATATGCCTTTGCATAACTCCTTACTACTAATCCACCAGAACTATAAGAGAAAACAAAAGTCAGTAAAGGTGCAAGGTATATATTGATTGATTGATTGATTAATTGCGATTGTTCCTCCTTCTTCAGCAGAGCATCTAGTGGATTTGAACCAAGCACCTCTGGGATTGCAGTACAGCAAGGTATATATTAATACTAAAAAAATCAGTTGTTTCTATATATCTCTAGTGTATAACTTGAAAAGAAAATCATTTTAGTAAGAATAGTATCTAACAGAATAAAATACCTAGGAATAAATTTAATCATGGAGGTGAAATATTTGTACATGAACTATTAAAAAAGTTAGCTAAAGGAAACAAAAGGCAGCCTAAACAAACAGAAAAATATTCCATGTTTTCGCACTAGAAGACTTACTGCTATCCAAAATGACCTACAATTTCAACATAACCCCTAAGAAAAATCCAATCACATGCTTTTTCAAAAATGGGGGGGGGGGAATCCTCACATTTATGTGTAATTACATGAGGATTTGAAGAACTGAAAAAATCGTGGAAAAATTAAAAGAAAATAAAGTAGAAGAACACCATTGGATTTAAAAATGTAATAGAAAGGTACAATAAAATCAGTATCATAATGCTATATAGTCTATATATAGAACAATGGGACAGAGTTAAACATCCATAAATAATCCCATGTATCTACAGGCCAGTGATTTTTATTTTTATTGGTTTTTTGGTTTTTTAAACAATAGTACTAAGTCCATTTGGGAGGCTCTAGTAGCCTGGTAGGTAAGGAGTTGTGCTCCCAATCCAAAGGCATGCAGTTCAAATCCACAACAGCAAGGAGTCACATCAATGGGGAAAGACTCTTCAACAAATATGTTGTTGTGGTTTTGTTACATGCAGTTGAGTCGCCTGCAACTCATAGCAGCCCTATGCACAACAGACCTAAACCCTGCCTTATCCCATGCCAACCTTATTGTCTCTGACACGCCTATCCCAATTATCCCAGTCACTGAATCAATCCACCTCATCGAGGGTCTTCCTCTCCTGCGCTGTCCCTCCACCCTTCCAAGCATGATGTCCCTCTCCAAGGACTGATCTCCTCACAATATGTCCAAAGTATGTCAGATGAAGCTACAGAATCTTTGCCTCCAAGAAGCAGCTTGGCTTCACCTTCTGCAGGACGAACTTGTTTGTTCTCCTAGCAGTCCATGGTATACTCTATACTCTTCTCCAGGACCACAGCTCAAAGGCATCAATTCGTCTTATATCGTCCCTAGTCACTGTCCAGCTTTCTGATGCATAGCAAGTAATTGGAAAGATCATGGCCTGTATCAGGCACACCTTAATCTCCAGACTGTCACTGTTGCTCTTCAGTACTTGGGAGAGGTCTCTGACAGCAGATTTTCCCAGTGCAATCTGTCTTTTAATTTCCTAGCTGCTGGTACCAAGAGTGTTGATTGTAGAGCCAAACAAACTGAAGCTGCTGACTATCTCAATCTCTTTATCATCATGAGTCTGTAATCGGCCCAGTGGTGAGAATCTTTGTTTCCTTGACATTGAGCTTCAATCCATATTGAAGGCTCCAGTCCTTGACCTTCTTCAGCAAGCACTTCAGGTCCTTCTTAGTTTCAGTAAGCAGGGTGGTGTCATCTGCATAATACAGACTGTTGATGAGTCTACATCCAATCCTGATGCCACATTTCTCCTCATAATGCCTATCCTCCCAGATAATCTGTCCTGCATATAGACTGAAAAGATACGGAAATAGGACACATATAATGAGGAGAAACAACAAGTAAAAGAATGAAGATGGACCCATACTTCACACCATATGCAAAAATTAACTCAAAATGAATCAGTAAACTAAGTATAAGAATTTAAAAAAAAAAGTTTAGGGAGCTCTGGTGGCCTAGCGGCAAGATGCTGCACTGCAATCCCAGAGGTAAACGGTTCAAATCCACCAGAAGCTCTGCTGGAAAAGGTGGGGGCAATCTCCTCCTGTGCCAGTCAGATCAGATTTGATGGCACATGTAAAAATAATACAATTTAAAAAAAAAAGTTTAAAAAGAAAAAAGTTGGAAAAAAGGAACTAAAGTAATGAAACTCTTAAGATATAGGAGTAAAGCTTTAAGAATTTGCTTTTAACAAATTCTTAGATAACAAACCAAAAGCATAAGCAACAAAAGAAAACAGACACTTCATAAAAATTAAAAATTTTTGTGTATCAAAGGATTTTGTCCTGAAAATAAAAAGATAATCAACAAGATGAGAGAAAATATTTGGTGAGTAGTTACTTGATAAAGTTTTAAAATCCAACATACGTAAATGTATCGTACTTCAACTACAAAACGACAAAACTCAGGTTGCTCTGCATCGTCAGACACTGTCAGTGTTACATATTGTCTAGCCTGAATCACCTCATAGTTGACCCTTCAGAAGGTTTTCAGAGGCTGTGAATTGTACAGGAAGAGAAGACAGTCCACCTTTCTCCTGTGGAGCAGCTGATGGATTCAAATTGTGCGCCTTGGGGATGGCAGCACAGCTTCTCACCATTAGGCTGCCAGAGCTCCCTAGCAGAATTCAAGGAACTGCAAACCAAAACCACAAAGAGGTGTCACTTCATCTCCACTAGGGTGGTTATTATTAGAAAATAACATGTGTTCAAGGTATAGAGAATTTGGAAACCACTGGACCAATTGGTAGCAT